AACGGTTTTTGGTTCATGTTGACAACTGACCGACTCGAGCAGTAGTTTAAGGGCTGGAAATGGAAGAAGAGAGTGAGGTCGACGACTCAGCGCATTTTGCTCACCGAAAGGCGCACTTTGAGCTATTACGGTGCGCTGTAAGCCCTGGCCCGGAAAGTTGCCCACTGACGCGATATCTCGGGTCTCGAAGTCAGTCAGTTGTGTTTGTCTAGAGTGGTTGACTGGTGGACTGAAAGTCAGGCCGCAGTGCCATGCTTAAGGGTGGCTCTGGCCGCCCCAGTCCCCAGCATCTTCTCCCGCCTCCGGTCTTCTTCACTTGGTTCTGACACCGGACTCATGTGCATTAGGGGGGGGAGAGAGTGCGGTAGATGCAGCATAAGTCTCTATAATTGTAATCTAGTTCACGTGCAATTCACTGTCCCCGCATCCATTCTCATTTTGACCTCGTCTGTAACGACTGTCGAACTGTTGTCCATAACTTTTCCAATTTTATTTTCAGATGACACCCCACCCATCGCATTTCGGCATATACTGCTAGTGAAATAATGTTCTCCGGCTCCGACGATCTGGAGCAGTTACTCATTCAGCCGGTAATAACTGGGTTTTTTTCTCCGATAATATGTATTTTTTTTCTAGGAGACAACTGTTGAAGAGGTGCTTAAGTATGTCCATTTCACTGACGAACTCTCCACGAGGAATCCTGCTCTCCTTGAATTGTTTGTCTTCTTTATTTTGTTTCTACATCTAATCCTTCACGTAGCTTGGCCCAACCCGACCGAGTGCGAGATCTTGTGGAGCTTGTTCGCCGAGGACCGGACCTCTCCTGCCCCTCAGAACGACAATACCAGTAAGTTGATACCAGCCTCACGTTTTCTCTTTTCTCACCCTTGGTGAACATTTATAATCTGTTACCTCTGCGGAATAATGTCTTAATTCATCTGAACTTTCAGCCTCTTACTGGAGTTCATCTTCAGACATAAAAGCGGCCACAAAACTGGCAACAGTTATGGGGGGTTTGGGGTCAATCAAAGGCCCCTAAAGCCAGTCTTGAGATAGCTGCACAGACTGGATGCATGTTCGAATCGTGGATATACGAACATAATTTGGCTGTGTGTGTCGTAGCCCTATTTGAATCAGGAGTCCCCGCCGGATTTCAAATTGGTTTTCGTTGTTAGACGGAGAAAAGCCAAGACCTCGACCGGCTTGACCCAAGGGTCCGCGGGAGTGAGTTAGGTGCCTGGCCGGGAACTGCAGGCGAATAGATGGTGACAGTCATGCAGAGAAAGGCTGCAGTCGAGACAGCTGTCGGGTGTGGACGTGTCGAGCCAGTGTTGGCACTGGCGAAGGAGCACTGAGTAGCCACTACATAGTTGAGCCGAGGTACAGCGAGGCTGTGGGACTAGATAGCGGTTTATCAAGCGCGGCTATCCTCACCTACAAAAGGGTCAATAAATTAACTTCACATCCACGGGGGTAATCGCTCACGTCAGAATCGAAGCAAGTAGCGAATTGATTGAAGCCTGGGCCTCTGATGAGAACTCACTCAGTCGATGTATTGAACTGGCGCTGGTATACAAAACCCCGAACAGTCACCTCCGGATTGGCGTAACTAATTTCGGATTGGTCCCTACCCCCTACAATTTTGGCTTATTTTGTTGCCGTTTTTATCTATGAAGTTGGATTTCATTAAGCGTTCATTAATCTTTATCTATAAAAAAGAACACTCGAATTGCCAACATTCGCCTGAATTCATTTATAACCTGCAACGCTGTAGACTGGCCTATTTGGCAACCGAAGCGCTGACCTCGGAAACCTGGACCATCCAGGATGCCTTGCTGCAAAATGAGGAGGCGCTGGATGGACTGTACAGCATCCTTCAGACCGAAGACCCAGCCTCCCTCCCTCCGCTGACGGCCAGCTTTCTGCACCGCATTCTCGTCTACCTGAGTAAGTGGGCCGGTCTTGAGGTAGGTCTTCCATTCGGAGACTGACCCCGTCTTTCGTAGTTGTTAAGCTTTCTTAAATCGAAGCCCGATTTCGTGGACTGTGTAATTCGACACATGGACAAGGCCGCTGTTCCTGAGATCGTCTACCATCTGTTGAATACCGCGAACTATAAGACCTTCCTTTCAATATGTCAGGTGAGTTGGCTTGCTTACTCCTTATCCTCCTCTCCTCCTCCACTATCATCCCGCCGACACAATCATAACCGTCATAAACGTGCCTTTTCTTTCAGTGGCTTGACGAGGCACAGTTAGTGTCAAAACTGTTGGATCGATTCTTATGCGACGATTTCGAGGTAAGTGTACCATGTTACACCGAATCCTCCCCACAGGTACGTGGCTACGCCTGTCAGTTCATCTGTGGACTGATCTACGTCTGCCGGAGTCATCGATATCGCTTTCTACGACCGCTCTCCGAGGACAGTCAAACCAACTTGCTCCTTTCTCGCCTCGAAAGGTTGGTGCACTGGTCAATTTTTTGTGCTTACTTGGTAGGGATAACTTATCTGCTCCCTCCCCCCACCTCCTGGGTTTTCACTGGGCTGTCAATTTCCTAGATTTTAAGAAGACTTTATTGGCTGTGATACTTGGAAGAAAGTTTTACCAAAGTAGAACAGTTTTGTCAAATGGCAAACGCTTTACAATTTCGCAGGTCATCCCCTATATTGCATCATCTGTATGCATACTATTTTAGTAAGGGCGCCCACTGAGCAAGTCAAGGAACATGGTCGTCCCGGAACCGGGCTGTGGTCCTACGCAGTCCATAGTTGGGGCTCGGTATGACCGTTCATTGACGCCGGAAATGACCATTCCAGTCTCCCTTGCCGTTTTCGGTACATCTTCTGTATTACTGGTCGCTGTACAAATGCCTGCGTACATATATAGATATTGGAGGGAAATAAGTTATTTGGAAAAAGTAGGAAATATTACTGAGTACATTTTCAACGTTGGTTCCTTAAGTCACCGTCAGACTTGAACAAAAAAACATTTCAAAAATGCTCAAAAAGCGACAGTCAGTTGATTTTCGCACCGATTAGCGACCGCCGTTTGCGTCAGTCTGTCTTGGTCGTTTCTCGTCCCTTTCATTTTCCCCCGAAGTTTCTCATCACGGCATCTAACTCAATGTGTTGCTTGATGCAAGAGTCTTCAGAGTGCATGGCCTCACGAGGCTCTCGGCTTTCTTCGGAGGGGCAAACTGCGACGATACGATTTTTGTCCCAGGCGACGGCGTGCGAAGCCACTTCTAAAAGCTCGTCACGTCTCCTGTCTGTCAGTTGATGTTCTTGGATGCGTGTGGAGGCGAACTTTCAAATTTGGCCACAATATACGGCATCAAAAGCTTTGTAAAGGATCTTGTAGACGATCTTTTCCTTTTCGAGATAGCTGACCTTATTCTTAGGGTGTACAAGCTGGGTGCTTAATGTAGTAGTCGGTTTGTGTACCATTTTTATTCAACATTTCCGCAAGTGTTTTTTTAGACGAGTTCAGGTACATCCGTTATATAAAGAAGGATTCGCCATGTATTTTTTGGCGTCTGTAACTATTTAGTACCTCCTTTTTGGACACTTGTTGTTTCATGCATCAGCGTACAAATGCTATAGGATAACCCTTTTTGGAGAAAATAATTCAAACAGGTAATACAGCTCGATTTGCGAGTTCCCTTCGTTCGAGCGATGCGTTTCTGCTCGATTCAGCAGACTATTGGCTATACTCCTCTTGTAGGTAACTGGGTTCTTGTCCTCACAGCATAGAATTAATTCCACATATATTCTAGCAGCAAAATTTACCAAATCGAATGTAATTACCTGTTTGAAGTGTTTTCCAAAAATGGTTGCCCTAGGGAGTTTGTGCGTCCATGCGTGAGACGACAAGTGTCCAGAGAGAGGGGACTCGTTTTTTCTGATTATTGGCCTTAACCAAAAAGCTGGCGAAGAACGTGCCCGAAGTCAATGAAAGACACCTGAGGATGTAAGAAATCCAAGTGGCACACAAGCCAATAAATACACTGCGAAATCAGCTTGTACATCCTATGGAGAGGGTTGGCTATTAGGACGGCAAAGTGGTCGTTTATAAGATTCCCTGTGGCAGTTGCAATGCAGTGTGCTTTGGCCAAACAGGAAAATTGGCCTCCGCATACTTACACGGACACCAACTGGCAGATAAGAGGCAAAAACACTGGTCTCAAGTCGTCATGCACACATTAGAAACTGGAAACAAATTTGCATGGGACCAAACGTGCACTGTTGGCTCTTGCCCATCTAAGACAGGCCGTGAATTTTGAGAGACCATTAACTCTGATGGTTCGTGCATTAATCTCTAGGCTAACCATCCTGGGAAGACAATTCAAACAGATGATTTAGCTCGACTCATAGCTTTCTTCATAGGCACAAAGTCTTTTTGCTCGATGTAGCAGACTGTTGACGGTACTCCTCTTATGAGAACGAGAGAGAGAGAGACCGGGTTTCTGCTCTCATAGCTACCGAGACGCGCACAGTTACCAGTTATGCATGCAGATGTTTTCCCTCTTATGCCTCTTTCTCTGAAGGGCTTTTCTATCTTTTATTTTGATAACTGGTACGAACTAACGGAGACAAAAAATCCTCAAGACAGAAGAAGTATGACTACTGGCAGAAAAAAGGGGGCGCGTTGGTTTTCAGTTCTATCCCAATACTCTGATAGGTTTTCTGTCAGCCTCTTCATCTAATTTTCAACACAAACATGTACACGCCAGTCCGAACGGGGTTGCCTTTGAAGACTAAAATAGGAAAGTTATTGCATCAGTACTGTCAGCTTCTTTGCAACTGTGAGGGCGCCAGGACTGAACTGTTGTTGCTGGTTTCCAGTCTCTCCTCAGCTTCGGAGAAAACTACGAGAGGTTGGGATGCAGAATTGGACTGCCACCCGTCAGCCTGTTAATAGGGCATACTTACGTGAATACGCTAGACTCGCTAGACTCTCTGGAAAGGTAAACTGCAATTCTGAACTGCGTTGTCGATTTGAGCAAATAACTTAAGTGGGAGTTGTATTAATAATCACAACATTTGTGAAAATTCCCATTGTAAATATCAAGAAATAAATTGGCAAGTCTTTGTTTGGTTTCGATAAATCCTCTTCAGGCCTGCACATTTATATGGTAACGAAACAAATGAACTATGCTGGTTTGTGGCCGCCGCATAGAGAGTGACCTTTTGATCTCAATTCTCCCCACCCCCCACCGCCCCTGACAACAACAACCCTACATCTTTCCACCAACTAGCGCAGTCTATTTCATTACCAAATAAATGTACAGGCCTGAAGAGAATTTATCGATAGAAATCGTATACTCGCCATTTTGCCTTCGGATAATTACAAGATATTTCAGTCACCTCAGAATACCGACCTTTAAATGAGCTACTTCCTGACCGCCTGCAAAAATTAGGCACTGTAAAAGATTGCAAATTAAGTAATATTAAATTTTTATTATTGACTTTCGATGCCCCTTATAAATTCAAATATATTTTATAAAAAATATACACAAATATCTCCTTCAAATCTCATATTTGAACGAAGAATATCTTTCAGTTTAAAAAATCTATTTAATAATGAGTTTTTGTATGATTATGAAATATTTATTCATAGTATATCGTATCCATCAATTTATTACTGTGGTCTATAATGTCTACATCATGATTTACCTCCACTACACACTTGTATAAGAACTGTATGACCTCCTTCTCATACCTTGGGGAAATGTGTAAATTCTTCTAGACGGAATGTACGCAGCATGCAGTTTGTAAACCTTGAGTTTAAGTATAACGGCCGGTAGGATTCAAAGTTATTCGGAAATTGGGAAACATTTTTAAAACAGTAAGATACCTTTTCTTCAAATACAAAATTTGAAGGAAGCGTAATTTTCTACCGAATGTGACGTTTTCTATAAATTAGTGGGCCCCATATATCCCTAGCCTCAGCATTCTGTCTTACGGGACCTGTGATATTAGGGTTTCTATGGGGGGGTGGGAAATTAGGGTTAGGCAGTGAAAGAAAGTTGTAGAAGTAACTGCATAGTGGCAAATCACGTTTGTTTTGCGGTTTTAATCAGTGCGGCATCGACGACGCGCTGCAAAATTATGCTGGAATATAATTTAATAACTACTATATGCATATTAACCATTAATTCCACTAGTTCCTGACCTGTCACAAATTGACATCTGGCTGTTTTTCAGATGCTTCCTATTTATAAAATGCTGCTTTCTGTTTACTTTTTCGGTTTACGCGCTCTGATCCGTGGCTTTATAGCAGCCGCGGCACACAAAATCAACCATATTTACACTATCAATTTCCTTCATGGCCTATCCTCTTTCCCCACCCACTAAACCCCTAATAACACCGGTCCTCTTCGACATAAGGTTGAAGCTTGGGGTATATAAGGTCCACTACTTAAAATATCCTTGCCGTTGTTGAACATCAAGTAGAAAATGCATACTACATATGTAGTCGTTTTCTTACAGGGTGTAAATTTTGCAGATGGCCGAAAAAATTTTGTTCAAATACCGGCATCCTTATCTGACCGAAATATTTTGGGATTATGTCGTGCGCTAATTTTTATTAAACTCCTACATGGGTAATAATATTCGAGCGAAAATACCTTCCAGTCTTTCGGTCGACTCTTCACGAGATAGGCAATCTGCTGTATTCATATGAACTCCGTGTAGCTTACTTGATACTTCCCCCTTTCTGCTTACTTCCCTTCCCCTCCACAAGTCCCACCTCCTTTCATCTATCAGTGCCATCTTTTAAAATTGTATCTTTCACTCCGCACACTCTGTCGTTGTTTATAGTGAAGAGACTTTCGAACGGGTCCTCTCCGCAGTCTTCTCGGATGATACTCACCTACTTGATAACCGTCAATTCATTCCCATGGCGTTGTGCCTTCTGCGCAACATCCTCATCCCCTCGACTCAGTAAGTGGACTGGCCTTTTTACTGCTTACATGATGTTTTCTTATCTAAAGGCCCTCAGGGTTTTTTACTTCTTAAGAGACAGCAAATAGTTTGACACCAAGGCTTTCAAACTACCCTTTCTTACATTCACCAAGTTTTCTTTAACTTTCTTGTTTGAACATCTACATGCGCATAACAGAACTCGCTGTGTATGTATAAATATGCGTAAAGATTTGAGGTCCGGATATCTTATTGCGGACATCGTCACCAGAACAGGAAGAAAATGAGGGGGCAAGTTCATGGGTGTAACACGAGGCTGGCGGCGTGGCGATTTAACTCAAGGCCTACGGAAGAGTAAGCTCGGCACTCTGAAGATGGAAACGAGTGTGTTTTTGAAACATCAGTCAAAATATATCTCGGTCCATGCACTTGCCCCCTCTTCCTCTGCTTCTGCGGGAGATGATGCATGCGATAAATATATATTCGCTTGTTTATAATCATTTCCGTGGATAGTGACTTCGCAGAAATCAAAGTTTTTATAAGGTCACGTATGGAGGAGCTGTTCAGTGACCAGAAAATTGGGAGATAAATAGAACCTGCAATCATAAGAGCATGGTTTACTCGGTTCACAGGAGGATTTTACTTCCGCATATATCAGTTGTTGATTACTCTCCAATGACACTGACATCGATTCTGGGGGTTTTCAATGTCCTTCGTCAGATGCTCGAAAGCCATGGCTTCTCTAATTTTTGGTCACCAAAACTGTCAATTTAGGCCTTAAATTAAATACTATGTAGTCGCATGTCCTTTCTTCCTGCGAGTGACTACAGGGGTCGTATTTGTAATATCACATAAGCATAAAACCCAGTCAGGGCAGAAAATGAACGTCCACAACAAAAGTCTGCGGAGAATATGCGCTTTATCGAAAGAGATCCTTCTCTAAGAAGCTTTGCTGAGGGTATTTGGCGGCTGAATACTTACTTCTTTCGTCTCTTTGCAACGTGAACTCAGAAGAGGACGAAAAAATGTTGTTAGCTCACTTACGCCATCGTCTGTTGGTGACACCTCTCATTTGCAAACGATGAAACTCTTTCCTGTTTATTTTGTCATTGTTTTCGGTATCTTTACTCAAGTGTATATTCCATCCTGTGATGATAAATATACTTCAGAGTGGTCACATAAACTTTAAACTATCTCTGGAAAGAACCTAAGAAAAAGGAATCTTACCCCATGCGCCAAAGCCAAAGTATTCCGAGACAGCGTCTACAATTGTGTGATTACATCTGGAATTTGAAGATTGCGTATCCAGAAGGGCTTATTGGAACCATAATTTTCGCTGGTGCTCATCAGCTGCGTCCTCTCGCTGCATAAAGTGAGTAAAGAATGAGAGAATACACAAAAACTGAACTCGTACAGAAGAAGTCATTGAAACAGGTTAGAAAGGTCAATTAGTACATTGGGTTTTATTGCTTATGTCTTTTCGCTCCCTCTCACTCTCCCCTTTCCTCTCTTTTATCATCGCTCCCACCTCCTCTCCTTCTTCTCCTCGCTCGCCCTCTCTCTCCTCACCGTCCTCTCTCTCTCCCTCTCTATCTACCTATCCCCCTTCCTCATTGGGACCATAATTAACTTTCCTGACCTGTTTCTATGACCTCTTCTATACGAATTCAATTTTTTCGTATTCTCTCATTCGTTCCTCACTTTATGCAGCGAGAGGACGCAGCTGATGAGCACCAGCGAAATGTATGGTTCCAATAAATTCTGCTGGATACGCAATCTTCAGATTTGCACCTGGGAAAACATGCTTCAAAATACTTCTTGAATGTCTTACGCCACTAGAAATTATCAATGAAGTAAAACATTAAAAACAAAATGGATTACCTGTAAGCAGCACTGTCGTGTGTTGGGGCCTAAAGTGCACAGGTTCACAATTCACGATTTCTGGTTTTCCGGAAAATCATTTGTACACTTACACCTAGCTTTGCCCGATTTATTTGGCCAGAAACGACGTTTCAAGTTTGATAAGACTCTCCCATTTAGATTGATTTTCGCTACTTTATAGGCATGCGCAAATGTGCGTATGCGGTTAACGGTACTCTGAAACACATGAAATTTCCGATACAAGCGGAAATGCGAGCCTTGAGAAGTAATTGAGGCGATGTAAATGCGATTGCTGGGACAGGAAGTTCGTTCGTCTGACGTTTCGAATTTCTGCTCGAGTCCGTCATCAGACACGGGTAATTCTTATGCAGGGAGTTGCAGTATTTATAGGATGCAGTCACCACCATGCTACTGCATACGAATGACACTTAATGGTTTTCCCCCTTCATGGACGAGGATTGCCCGCTAATTGCTTGCTTACTAGCCGGCACGCCGGGCGTTATCTGCCAAAATTTAATCCCTCGTGTGAGCTGTTGGCGTGAGGATTTTTTAGCCAGCTGGCTCACTGACACCGGCGTTGGAGAATGTGTTTGCCGGCGAGTGGCTGGTTTACTTTGGCCGTCAAACTACGCTTCAGCACCGAATATGGGTTGGGGAGTTCATCGTCATGGTTTATATGTTGGGGGTCCGTTAATCCTATAAAGGCGTGAATCCGAAACGTGAAGTGAGGCGAGTAAGTTTATTGTCCCAGCGACAGCGTTTACTTCCTATAGAGCACCTGCAACTGTCCAGATATGAAAAAAGACAATTTTTGCCTTATTAAGCGTAATCAGCCACCCATACTGAACTCCATTTTTGAAGCAACTTAGATTTGAACCCGAGATTTTTGGTTGTTTGATGTGTGTTGGACTATCGATTTCGGTGAAATCCACCATATGCACCAAACAGGTTGGTACAGAAAGGTGACTGGAGATCAGGGGGTAGGTTAAGGTGATAGAAGGCGTAGCATGCGCCAACCGCACTCTTCACCTTCACCCGGAGTCAAGAAGACCAAACGGGATCCAGCGTAGTCCGCTTTCTCTAATGCAAACCAGAAGCACCGCCTACCTTAGTCTTAAGTGACAGTAGATTTTGCGCTGGTACTGCCGCGCTACCCACCCTCACTCACCCTTAGTAGGTGCCAAGACAGGCTCAAGGAGGTCGACACTGATACGGCTACTACTCTTTCTACTACTACTGGCTAGCAATGTAGCTGGGTCTTAGTAGTACTGGTACCATTTCTGAGGCTACTATTAATCAGAGGTGGCGCCGAGTGAGAAAAAATCAGCACTGGGGCACATACCCCCTTGATTTCATCAAGGAGTCTGAATCTAGTCTCATGCTCTTCCGGGTAACTATATGTTTGAACCCCGGAGCACAGTAGGGTTTATTTTTGTCTCTGCCCTCCCAACTCTATCCACCAGGCTGTGTCCGTTTCCACTAGGTTTGCACTATGGGGACTAGGCTACTGCTGTTAGAAGTAACGATCCTTTGCTAAAGTTCTAATTTTAGTAATCAAACTTAGAACAGTATTTGGTGAGTGTACACTTTCGGTAAATTCTCCTCAGGACATACATTTACATGGGAGAGTTACATTTAAGCAATCGATCGATCGTCTTTCCTAACAAGTGGGAGCCAATCAGAGCGCGGATTAGTGAATATCGCTAAATGACTGCGGGCCACGCCAGATGTGGTGTTTGCACAAAATTCTTTAGCGCGCACAAAACCGGCTTCCTTAACCGGATCGCGGTTGCTTCTGCTTCTGCTGTTGCTGGCAAACGTTGACCCAGGGTAGTTTGGTGGGATGCTATGATACGGCCTGGTTGTTTTGTAGCGACAAGCCAGTTGTCATGTCGGTTGTTATTGAGAATATTGATTATTGCAGGGTTCGAATTTTGGGTGATCCACGCTTGGGATTGGGTGTAAATAGTCGATCGCGGCCAGAGTTTGTGCCAATATGGGGCTGTGGTACCTCACCGTGTGGTGTAGCTGGACCGCTTTCGCCAACCTCCTTCCCAATGTCCTCTATAATTTTTTGTCCGGCATCCGAGTCAGCAGACGTTTTGATGCATGCCCTACGTGAGAACACTGCTTCCATCGATTCGCGACTTTTATTTTCTGTGCAGGCACCAACAATGCGTGTCACCTTCCAGGCGAATGCCTTGAGTGCCAGTATGCATGTTGACCTAGAATGCATGTACACCCTCGTCTCCTGCCTGCTAAAGGGTGTTCGTGTACGCAATTGGAGGCCGACTTCCCAGCCTGACCACAGTAATCCGCGCTACAGCTATCACAGGAGATTTTGTAGATCGGCGAGGAAGGCAGTGTGACTCACGCGTGATTTAGTCTGTGGTGAGGGCGTTCCTCACGGCATATTTTCTTTGCGCACACTTTGCG